GCGAAAAGCCTGTTGCCATATGAACAAATAGGTTTTAGCTAGTTTTTCCATGCTTTACATCACATTTTAAAAACTTGAAGAAGTCACGGCATATATTACATTACTCTCATGTTTTGTTGACAGAATCTAGAAGCAAATATATTTTGTAACTATTTCATCACAGAGCTGGTTCAGTTTAGTTATATGTAATCAGAGTGGTTACTTAGTCATCATACCTCGATTGAACGTTCAATCACAGCTCAGCATTTGAAACGATTACTTGTTCAGGAAATAAAAAAAAACAATGCTTGTTGACATTTAGAACAATCACATCCCGCGAAGAGAACAATATTAGTTTTAGAGTTATGAATGTCGTGAACTTCCTCATGTGGAGCTGTATTATATCCAGAGCTTCCCGATGCTCTTATTTATAGATTAAGTTTACAGAACGTTAATGAGAAGATCGCTACACATGAATCTTTTCTACTGCCCAATATTGTTCTCATAGTATTCAAACGAGAAACACAGTGAAGATGCTGAGTTGTTTTATTAGCATACATTGGGCTCACGTGATACGTGAATCACGTAATGAGATGCAGCGGTAACATCTTATTCATTTGTATTCTACCAAGCACACAGAGCGGTTGTCATTCAATACCCTCTTAACTGTTATATGAGTCTGCTCACAACATCCAGTTTTTTTCATAATCGCATACTCTGTAATGAACATGATGCTCTTCGTATCAATGTATTTGCATTTTTGACAATCGGGGTGCCCCTAGGTGGAAACTCTTTCTGATTGAACAATTTCTGGCAAAAGAATTTCTTCAAGCATAAGCTTCATACAAAATCCTTTGATTACTGATAACTTCACAAGTTCTTCACCCATCAGGTTTCTGTTACACTTCTGTAAATCTCATTGTCTCTTGGCAATTTGACACTTTCGGAAAGAAAACAAGAAAAAGAAAAAAAAATAAAAGAAAAGACGTTTATTGTCGTTGTATGGCATGAAATGCTTGGGTTGCAGTTATATACAAGCAATCTCGGTTGATCTTCT